GAGTGCCCAAAAACCAGACTGTCCAGTTAAATACCCAGACACCTGGCAACCCTACCCTGTAACTGTTGTGGCAGCGCAGCTTAAGGTACGTTGAATCCAGCTATGCATTTTGTGTAGGTGGAGAGTGTTCTGTAAGCCCACCTGTCTGGTGTAGTGTAGACCAGGCCTGAGCGACATCGCAGATTGTTGTTAGCTGCAGCAGGGAAATCTTCATTTGAGGGCTAATCCATCTCTTTGTGAACAGCAGGAAGAGAGAGAGTTCCATTTCTGCAATAACCTCCATAGTATTTGTGTTCATAGAACCATAGAGCTGGAAAAGACCTCAGAAGGTCATCGAGTCCAGCCCCCTGCTCTAGGCAGGACCAATCCCAACTAAATCAACCCGGCCAGGGCTTTGTCAAGCCAAGACTTAAAAATCTCTTGGTATGGAGACTTCCCTAGGTAACCCATTCCAGTGCTTCACCACTCTCCTAGTGAAATAGTTTTTCCTAATATCCAACCTAGACCTCTCCCACTGTCCCTTCAGGAAGTTGAAGGCTGCTACCAAATCCCCCCCTCACTCTTCGCTTCTGCGGACTAAACGGACCCAACTGCCTCAGCCTCTCCTCGTAGGTCATGTGCTCCAGCCCCCTAATCATTTTCGTTGCCCTCCGCAGGACCTTCTCCAATGCGTCCACATCCAGGGGCGGCCCGTGGCTATAGGTGGACTCGGCCGCCACCTAGGGCGCCGCCGCCCAGGGCGCCTGATGATGACATCAGTCCATTGATGTCCCTGCAGGTGGGGACGTCGATAGCGCATTCCGCCTGGGGCACTAGATGATGCAGCCAGCCTCTGGCCACTCCTGTCCACATCCTTTTTGTAGTGGGGGGCCCAGAAGTAGACACAAGACTCCAGATGTGGCCTCACCAGAGCCGAATAAAGGGGGATAATGATATCTCTGGATCTGCTGGCAATGCTCCTCTTAATGCAACCTAATATGCCATTAGCCTGCTTGGCTACAAGGGCACACTGTAGACTCATATCCAGCTTCTCATCCACTGTAACCCACAGGTCCTTTTCTGCAGAACTACTACTTAACTGGTTGGTCCCCAGCCTATAACAATGCTTGGGATTCTTCCGTCCCAAGTGCAGGACTCTGCACTTGTCCCTGGTGATTTATTGTAGACCAATCCTCCAATTTGTCTAAATCACTCTGGACCCTATCTCTGCCCTCGAGCGTATCTACCTCTCCCCCTAGCTTAGTGTCATCCACAAACTTGCTGAGGGTGCAATCCATCCCCTCATCCAGGTCATCAATAAAGATATTGAACAAAAAGGGTCCTAGAACTGAACCTTGGGGCACTCCACTAGAAACTGACCGCCAATCTGACATCAAGCCATTGATCACTACCCACTGGGCCCGGCCTTCTAGCCATCTTTCTATCCATCTTACCATCCATTTATCCAATCCACATTCCCTTAATTTGCTGGCAAGAATATTGTGGGAGACCGTATCAAAAACCTTGCTAAAGTCGAGGTATATCAAATCCACTGACTTTCCCATGTCCACAGAGCCAGTTACCTCATCACAGAAGTTGATCAGATTGGTCAGGCACAATTTTCCCTTTGTGAATCCATGCTGACTATTCCTAATCACTTTCCTCTCTTCCAAGTGCCTCAAAATGGATTCCTTAAGGAACCCTTTCATGATTTTTCCAGGAACCAAGATAAGACTGACCGGCCTCTAGTTCCCTGGATCGTCCTTCTTCCCTTTTTTGAAGATGGGCACTACATTTGCCTTTTTCCAATCATCCGGGATTTCTCCCAATCTCCATGACTTTTCAAAGATAATGGCCAAAGGCTCCTCAATTTGCCAACTCCCTCAGTATCCTTGGATGCATTAAGTCCGGACCCATGGATTTGTGTATGTTTAGCTTTTCTAAATACTTTCTAACCTGTTCTTTACCCACCAAGGGCTGTCCATCTTCATCCCATCTTACGTAACTTAGCCCATTAGTCCGGAAGCCCACCTTGTCTGTGAAGACAGAGGCAAAGAAAGCATTGAGTACTTCAGCTTTCCCCACATCATCTGTCACTAGGTTACCTCCTTCATCCAGTAGGGGCCCCACACCGTCTCTGATCACCTGAAACTGTTGGCTTCTAATTAAAGTTTGAATTCTAGAAGCCTCTGCTGATTGGCTGAGGCTTGGTAGCAGGAGGGACTTTCAGGCAGTCTAGGGCTTTATAAAGCAGTGAGCAAGCGACCATGTGAGTGCCAACAGGGAGTTCTCCAGGTAAAGGAGAAGCAGATACAGGACTCTTGAGGAAAGTTTGTGTTGTGTTTGGGACTTTCTTGATGTTTGCTGAGCATCACAACAAAGTTGTGATGGTCTTGGCTCACACAAGGAATATATGGTCTGAGTAGGTCAGGACTCACTGAGGAGATGGCCAAGAGAATATTAGGTGTTGCCAGAAGATATGTTGTTGCCATCCAAATGCTGGCACTCGTCTTTGAATCAGGGAGAAATGGGCTTTTGAATAGAAATGTATACCTGCTCAGAACCTGGACTTAAGAAACTGGACCAAATTCGTTCCTGGTCTATTTCTGTGGAGAACAATTTGGCCTAATGTGTCCACCAAAGCTATCTGGTTATCCAGTGGACAGCAATGCTTCCAAGTCAGTGAGAAACATGGTGCCATTTCACAAACCGATGAGTAATATTCCTCTAATTATATCACCACAATGACATTAGATACCCTGGCTGTTTGTGGCATAACTAGTCTCTAACAGACTTTTTCAAATCTTTCCTTTTATTGTTTTCTTTCCAGAAATTAAACTTCTGAACTCATCCTGTGAAACTAAAATGAACACCAGTCAGCCTGTTATCGTTGTACAACCCCAATTTTCTGTGGCTACTGCACCAAGTAATGGCTGGCAGACTGGGTTGATGGACTGTTGCAGTGACTGTGGAGTCTGTAAGTGGACAATCATATACTGTATTGTTGTTTTGGCTTGAAGTGTATTGATGTTTGGATTAATTATATACCTACTGTCTTTTAGTAGGAATGACTTTAAATTGGGTGTAGGGGGGAATCCCATTTGTCTGTTTTATGTTTATTTACAGGAGGGCCTCATGGTTGTATTTCCATATTCACTCTGAGAGCCAGTCACTAGATGGCAACTTCGCCTGTTCACACCCAAAGCATGGTGTTAAGTGTAGAAGGCTAGAATGTCATTGCCTTGGTAATGCCCTTCAGGGTGCTCAGCGCTTCTGTCCTGGATGCTCCAAAGCTATCAATACTAGCTGATAGTTCAGCCTGCTAATTCAGCAGGCCTCCATGTTACTGATAAAGAAAGATCACAGGGTATGTCTACACTACCACCCTAGTTCGAATTAGAGTGGTTAATGTAGGCAACCAAAGTTGCAAATGAAGCCCAGGATTTAAATATCCCGGGCTTCATTTGCATCTTGCCGGGCGCCGCCATTTTTAAAGCCCCGGTAGTTCGGACTCTGTGCCCGCGGCTACATGCGGCACGGACTAGGTAGTTCAAATTAGGCTAATTCGAACTACCGTTACTCCTCGTGGAACGGCCTCCAGTGCTCCCCCCACAGCTCGTGGAACGAGAAGTAACGGTAGTTCGAATTAGAAAGCCTAATTCAAACTACCTACTCCGTGCCGCGTGTAGCCGCGGGCACGGAGTCCGAACTACCGGGGCTTTAAAAATGGCGGTGCCCGGCAAGATGAAAATGAAGCCCGAGATATTTAAATCCCGGGCTTCATTTTCAACTTCAGTTGCCTACATTAACCACCCTAGTTCGAACTAGGGTGGTAGTGTAGACATACCCACAGGGTTATTCCCCTTAGAGGACAGAATTGCCATCCTCTAGGAGCTACAAACATGCTAACCTGAGTGCCCAGTGGCAAGGAATGGCTCGGTCAACAGTGGGAATTTCTGCTGTCGCCTTGGCCACACAAGTTAAAGTGAGGTACCCCAGGGGGTGAGGCTCCAGCTTCCAGCACCCCCCGCCCAACCCTGCAGCTGTTATGGAGGGTGGGCAAGAATCTGGGGCTGCAACTAGGGATGCAAATGTAGGCATTCAAAATAGTCAATGAAGCAGGGTTTTAAATATCCTGCACTTCATTAGCATGATCTTGCTGGCACGTTTCAAAACAGCTGTTGATCAGAGTAATGCACCGGCGAGATCATGCTGATGAAGTGCGGGATATTTAAATCCCCGCTTCACTGACTATTTTGAATGCCTACATTTGAATCCCTAGGTCGAACTAGGGTGCAAGTGTAGACATACCCTTATTTACATCATGGTAAAAAATTCAATACCTCATCTGCACGGAGACAGCTAACGTGTTATCCTGCTGTAAACACACATTATTTCTAGCAGTTAAGAAATGGCCTTACTTCTTTAGGGGAGGGAGGTGAGCTGCCATTGAGGTTATAGCTTCATATGACATCGCTATTCTTTCAAAAGTCTTTTCAAAGACCTTGCTCTTCATTGCATGAGTTCTGGCCCATTGACCCATTCCTTTTTCCCTTCCAGTTTTCTAAAAGTGGTGGTAAAAATTAACTGTCTGCAAGAATGAAGGGGACCACTCGGAATGAGTCTCATTTGTTGTTCTGTTTTTATCCAGGCCTATGTGGAATGTTCTGTTTCTACTGTCTTGGATGTCAAGTAGCAAGTGCCATGGATGAATGCTGCATGTGTGGTGGAAGCGTTGCCATGAGAACTCTCTACCGGACAAAATATAGTATCCCTGTTGGTTCCATTCTAATATTTTGTTTTGCTCATGCTCCGTGAACAGCCCTTAAAGCAACATGTCGTTGATCTATGCAAATCAGTTGGCTATATTTTCATTAGCCACTTTCCACCCAGTGTGATTCTTCCCTGTCTGAACATAGCTGCTGGGCGTCTCCCCTTACGATTTCAGGGCACTGTAGTATAGCTGTTAGCAGAGGATTGGGCAACTGGAGACTCAGGCTGTGTCTAGATTATATCCCTCTTTCGACAGAGGGATGTAAATTAGGCACTTTGACACTGCAAATGAAGCTGGGATTTGAATTTCCTGCACTTCATTGGCATAATCACGTAATGGCGCTCTTTCAAAAAAGCGCCATTTCGAAAATAAAACCACGGTCTAGATGCAGTTATGTCAAAAAGGGAAGGCTTTTTTGAAAGATCCTGGAAAACTCAAAAAAAGGAAATTATACAATGTAGTCTAATATCCGTAGGAAATAATTGCAAACATATATAGCTGTGTCTAGACTGCATCCCTTTTTCGTAAGAAGGATGCAAATTAGACATATCACAATTGCTAATGAAGCAGGGATTTAAATCTCCCCCGCTTCATTAGCATAAAAATGGCTGCCGCTTTTTTCCAGCTCGGAGCTTTGCCGGAGAAAAGCGCCAGTCTAGACACGGATCTTTCGGAAAATAAAGCCTTTTCCAAAAGATCCCTTATTCCTCTTAAAATAAGGGATCTTTTGGAAAAGGCTTTATTTTCCGAAAGATCCGCGTCTAGACTGGCGCTTTTCTCCAGCAAAGCTCCGAGCTGGAAAAAAGCGGCAGCCATTTTTATACTAATGAAGCGGGGGAGATTTAAATCCCTGCTTCATTAGCAATTGCAATATATCTAATTTGCATCTCTCTTACGAAAAAGGGATGCAGTCTAGACACAGCCATATATGTTTTGTGGGTAGAAAGCCATGAAAAGAAGTACCGGTAATAGTGAAATACCTCAGGGTGCTATTGGTGAAGAAATTACATAAACGATCACAAATGCAATATAGTAATAATAACCCAAAGCCAAGGTTCTACACAGAAATATTATAGCTTCTATTTAGGCATCTGAATGAAATGTCCAGGTTTTCTAAAGGGCTCAACAGTAGCTTTAAAATCTGTCCACTTCCTTTAGGAACCTAAATATAGGAGTTAAGATCTCTTAATCTGGATCTATGTCAGAAGAGGAACGCAATAGATCTTTTATCGGACTCTAGTAAGACCACACCTAGGATATATTTGTACTTTGCTCTTTCTTCAGTACCTGAAGGAATTGGAAGGAAATTAGAGAAGAGCAGAGAAACTAATAATAGTGGGGGCTATAAATGCAAGAATCTGAAAGGTAATAGGTAAGATGTTATGGCATTGTGTGAGGACTAATACAACGATAAAGTTTAAAAAGGGAATAGTTGGATCGAGTATCAGAAAATACATCCTAATCCTAAATGCAAATTAACTAGACAGCAGACTCCCACTATAAGAGTTGAAAAATCTGGAGTATCCCGAAATAGCTATCCCGCATCTTAACAGCAAGCCCATTATTTTGTGTTCACTATTCCAACGTCCCTGTAAACCTCATTCCAAGAGGAGTAAGTAATGTTTCGAAATAGCAGCTTATTTCAACATTTGGCTCTGCATGGACAGCACCAAATTACGAAATAAACTATTTCAAAATAAGATTGAAATAAGATACGAAAATTGAGCAACGCAAATTGTGTATCTTATTTCGAGCTACAGTGCAGTGTAGACAAACCCGGGGGGAGATGAACTTATTTGATCTAGTTGAGCTTCCAGTCTCAGTCTGGTGTCCATCTGCTAAAGTATCATTGTGTTCTGCATTAGATAACTCAGTAGGGTTTGGTACCTATTACTCTCTACGAATCTAGGCCAAATAGTACATAAGCAAAAAGTTTAAAATGCATTTTGCCCCATAATGGTTTTGTCATCCTACTCAAAGGGTATGTCTACACTACCCTCCTAGTTCGAACTAGGAGGGTAGTGTAGACATACCCTCAGTTAGGCTAGGGGGAGAGGTAGATAAGTTGGAGGGCAGAGATAGGGTCAAGAGTGACGAACCCTAGGCTTCCTAGTTTGAACTACCGTTACTCCTCCGTGGAATGAGGAGTAACGGTAGTTCGAACTAGGAAGCCTAGTTCAAACTACCTAGTTCGTGCCGCGTGTAGCCGCGCGGCACAGGGTTCGAACGAGCGGGGATTTAAAAATGGCAAAGCCCCGCTTATGCAAATGAAGCCTGGGAAATTCAAATCCCGGGCTTTATTTGCAAGTGCGGTATGCCTACATTACCCCGCTAGTTCGAACTAGCGGGGTAGTGTAGACATACCCCAGGGCAACATAGAAAGCCCATATGCTAGTCTGATTTGAAGTCCATTGTGGTACTTCTTAAGGTTACACCTTTTTAATATTTTTTTTTTTGTTTCAACAGGGATCCATCTACTCTGATTACTGCACTGTCCTCTTTTGTGGCATATGTTCTCTTTGTCAATTAAAGAGAGATATTAATAGAAGGAAGGAAATGGGAATATTCTAGTAAGGTTTGTCACTTATTAAATATGTATTTGTCAGTATTTGATAAATCAACGGGCTTCTGTGATGCAATGTTTTAGAACAAATCCTAGAGGTGATGAAAAAGTTAGTGCGTACCCAAAATGTTATGCAATCAATGAACAGAATTCTATCCAATATAGAGAGTAGGTCTACTCTACCTGCCTTTTCTGTACATCCCTTTTGAATCATTATCTATATGTAGTTTTGTACATAAATGAATAAGGAAAAGTTATTTACTTATTCCCACAATATAAGAACTAAGGGTCATCAAATAAAATTAATAGGCAGCAGGTTTAAAACAAACAAAAGGAAGGTTTTCTTCATGCAGTGCACAGTCAATCTGTGGAACTCCTTGCCAGAGGATGCAGTGAAGACTTGGACTTTAACAGGGTTCAAAAAAGAGCTAGATAGATTCATGGAGGTTAGGTCCATCAATGGCTATTAGCTAGGATGGGTAGGAATGGTGTCCCTAGACTCTGTTTGTCTGTAAATGGGTGACAGGAGAGGGATCACACGAGGATTACCTGTTATGTTTCCTCCCTGTGGGGCATCTTGTAATGGCCACTGTCGGCAGACAGGATACTGGGCTAGATGGAGATTTGGTCTGATTCAGTATGGCCATTCTTATGTTCTCTTGGACCCAAGGTGGACCCATCTATAATATGGCTTTAGGGAAGCAGCAGATAAGCCATTTACTTGACTCTGCATTAAGAAGAACCACAGTAATAAGTCAAGTGAGAGTTACCTTAGTGACTCAAGACAATTTAAAAGGAAATATATAATCATTTACTATAGGCAAAAGTGCCTGGCTGGGAATGCAAGACCCCCTGGCAGCAATGACCACCTATTACTGAAGGAGAGCCTTCTTAGTAAACCACACGTAGCAGGCATTCCACATTAGGTGGTACTTGTCATTCTGCAGTGGAATTCCACATAACAATGCAAAAAGAACAGAGCATGTTAACCACAAACAGGAAAGGCCCAATGGGTGTGTGCTACAGGGAACCTACATGGCTCAACAACTGAGTGGGCTGTGGTCGGAAGCAACTGCCACACCTGTTAGTTTCTCTTCCAAGAATTAGACAGCCGGAGCAGCTCTAGCTGTGCCCTCACATTACAATAGGTGGGTTGAAAAGCCATTCTTTCATCTCCACTGTGTAGTCTCACACCGGTAAAAGGGATTTGTTTGCCCAGACTTTACTCTCTTGTTCAGGATTAGGCTTTTGATATGTATCTTTGTGAGGTATGACCATACACCAGAACTGTACATGATTACGATTCTTGTGTTTGCATAAAACTATAGTGTCAATTATGGAGAAAGTGTAGTTCTTGGGTGGCATTTTCAAAAGTTCTTAGTGTTGAGTTAAATCTGATCCCATTAGTCAGTAGAAAAACTCCCCTGGACTTCAGTGAAAGGAATTAAGCCAATTCTGAGAGCTTTTAAAATCTCTCCCAAACAGCTAAATAGGCAAATACTTGTTCACCTTTTACTGGAAAAGAAAAAACACATATGAAGGAGGGTCTGAATTTCAGATGTGCAGTGAAGATCTTCATATAAAAAAGGAAAAGGTTCATCTTTTCTATTTGATTTACTAGTTTTTCCATTAATACTTCAAGAGTCAAATCCTGTCCTCATATCTCTGCAGTCTTTTTCATTTGAGGCAGATTACTAAAATATACAGGAATGCACCATAAGCAAAAATACACCTTACACCACTTGATTAAAGTAAATTTCAAGGTAGTTTATTAACAAAACTACTGGTATTATGAATCTTAGCCATGAATGTAATTATTTTCTCCCTACTGTAGATGTACCTGTATGTGACGGTTGAGAGTCCTAGAGTTTCCATAAGCAAGAATCTGTTCATCTTCTGCTGTACATGTGATTCAAGAAAATGTGATGTGCATTTTGATGATTGCAAAGCACTGCTCATCTGAAATAAATCAATACATTAAAGCAACCGCAAATTTGTCCATCTCACTTCCTGTGTATGTACGTATGTGTGTTATCTTTCACTACTACTTCTCAAGTTTCACTGTATGTACAGGTTGGACCTCCCTGGCCGGCACGCTTGAGACCTGATGGGTCCCGAATGAGGGATTTTGCCAGACCATGGGAGGTCAACTCTAGCCCACCTGCTGATGGACTCTGGGCTCTGCTGGGTTCATCAGAAGACCCCACTGGGCTCTTCACCTGGCTCCACTGCTGGGGCTCTGCTGCTCCGGGGTTGCCGGGGCTCTGCGCCTGTGTCTACTTTGCAGCCAGCCCCAGGACACCAGGCTCCTGGTCCTCATCTGCCATTGGGCTCCGCAGACTCTCTAGACTAGTGGCTCTCTGGTCCAGCAACATCCATGGTCCAGCAGGACCAGAGAGAATCCTGAACTAAACTGTATTAGAAAGAGTATGCTCCTATTTCTAATATCTAGCTAATGCTAGTTTGTCCATGGTATGCTCTCCTCACTGTTTCTGCTGTCAGAGACGTAAGACAGAATAAACTCTGATCAACTTACTTTCCTGCTCCCTGCACTGTAACAGAAGAGAGCTTTTCCTGGATGTAGTACATATCTAAATTGCAAATCCAATACAAGAAACTTGGAAGATTAGAGTTGTATTGCATTTTCACACACAAATGCAAACTGCTCATGAGTGAAGTACAAGTAACTGTTAAAACAAAGACATCATACGACTGAGTGACTCTAATTGGCTCATTCTTACCTTTACTAGAATAACCACAACACATGTTCACAACCACCAATGGAAAGTAATGAGTCCACAAAGCAATTTAGTAAACAGGATGTGCAGCAAAAATATATCTTGTTGAGATTTTACTTCTCATATTTTTAAACCACAACTTTCAAAAGAGCAAAATGTATTTCTCTCACAGACACACCATGTTGAGTATTCTGACAAAACTTCAGGAATTTTAAATGAGACTGTATAGTACTCATTCTCAGGTGGCCATTTCATAGTCCTAGTAGATGTCAACTGTTCAGCACAGAAGTACATTAATAATAGTCCAAAAACTTAAGTATAGGTTTACTGTGCCATTTGAGCTTCCATTGCTTGTGCTGTCCAGTCTGGTACTGTCTGACTAATCTTTTCCAGAAGGTTGTTAACTTGGAAACACAGTGACTGAATCTGCTTGTCCCATGTTGGCAAAGCTTCACGTGCTAAACAAACAAACAAAAAGCCAATTTATAAAAGCAGATAGACAATACTTTTTCGTCTCATAATTAAGTGAAATACCAATAAAAATGATTTTCAGTCAGAATACAGCAAAATTGTAAAGAATCTATTTACCAAGCATTTAGTATAGTTATTTCTAAATTTAAAAAAGATTAAGTGATTGATGGCTGAAAGTTACCCGATTAGCTATTGCACCACAATGTAAAAGCTGAGAATTTATCACTCATCATTATCATAGTCTTGTAAATACTAGATGAGTAACAGGATGAATTTTTTTGCAGTCTGATATAACTTTTTATTATTACAGTCAAATCACACATTCTCAGAAACATTAGAAAAGAGTAAAATATGACTTTGTAAGTTACAGGTAGACAAGCTAAACTGCTACTTACAATACAGTTTGTGCCATCTGCTGGCAAAAACAAGTCTAAGCACACTTGCTTGTAGTAGAATCAAAAAACAGGATTATGTAGCACTTTAAAGACTAACAAGATGGTTTATTAGGTGATGTTTGGATAGAAAGATGTCTGTCTGTATCTCTGCAAGTTTTTTCATATGGTTGATGGATTTCCATTCCAAACGGCTAAATGTAATGCCTTGCATATAGAATAGTGATAGAAATGTAGCCGTGCTTGTAGTAGAACCTCGTTTTAAAAATATAACTAGCTTTTGTGTTGAAGAGAACAGTTCAACTAATTTATTTTGAACTTCACCACAAAAAAGGAAAAACTTACTTTCAAAATGCACTATTCCATCAATTTGATCGATAAATCCATTCATGCGACCCTCAGTTATCATCTGAGAAGCTATCTTTTCTGCCTGCAAAATAGGAATTAGAGAGACATATGAGAATTATATTTTGTATCCAACATATTTATGGAGTTGCAAAAGGTTGCCCAGCCTTTACTCCTCTCCCTGTCCCCCAATTTATTGTTTAAGACTGCATTACTGCCGGCCAACCTCTGGCCCAAAGAGAACCAGATGGACTCCCTATGACACCCATCAAGTTACTGCTTCATCCACTTCTTGTTGCTGAGTGAAGCCAAGTAGCCCTGTGACTGACAGATAAGAGGCACTGCAGAGCACTTTCTTAAGCAAGGCAGTATTCATGGGTGGATTTGCTGTCACTTACCCAGCCTTCAGTGCCTTCAATCTTGAAAAGCTGAATTCTTTAAAATTATAACCAAAAATACCTGTCAATATCACTGCCAACAGAATTAATTTCCCGTATTCAAAAATGATCACATGGAAAATAAAGATACCTTGGCTGCAGGGATCTCTAATAGTGCTCCAAGCTCTTCAAAGGTAATATTGTTGTATAGTTTGCTTGCAGATAACAAGTTATGCTCAATAACAGCTCTGTCCAAGATACTGGAACCTTAGAGGTGGAATAAAATGACACTTCATTAAGAATTTTCAAAAGACTTTTTCTTGCACAGTCGGTAAGAAAAATACTTTGCTAAAATCTTGTATGCACCCATAGGGATGTCAACATGTAGTTGACTACATGATTAACCGATAAGCGTTGGCTTATCAGGTTAATCTTGTTGACTACATGTACCTCCTCCCACCCCTTGCTGCCTCTGTATCAGAGGTAGCAAGGTGTGTGTGTGGGGGTGGGGTAAGGGAGTGGGAGATTGCGCCTGTGAGGGGCTGGCTTTAAGCAGCTCTCCACGAATACTGGATCTGCCTGCCCACCACCATCCTGCGCTGCTACCTCGGATAGAAATGCAGCAGCGCTGAGGAGGAAGAGGGAAGGCTGGTGCCGATATGAGCAGAGAACCGACTTTCAAGCCAGCTCCCTATATATGCCAGTTCAGTAGACCCACTGCACCCCCCTTGCTGTCTCCTATAGAGGCAGGTGTTCCCCCAGAACCAGACCCATGCTGCTGCCTCTATCAGAGGCTGGAGAATCGACTACTTGCTCCTCCTCCCCATTGCTGCCTCTATAAGAGGCAGCAAGGGCAGGGGAAACAGGAGCCAGTGCTGGGGGGATCTGGCTTAAAAACTGGTTCCTCTCTGCACTGCTATCGGAGGCAGCGGAAGGTGAGGGGGGATAGGGGAGGCTGCTGTGAATAGTTTTATATTCGTTACCAGAGAGGAGATTAAAGTAGAAATTTTCTGAGGTATATAATCTAATTTTGTATGGAGAATTGGATTCTAGAAAGCTCTTAAGAGATCGATAGGTTAAAACCTGAATCTAAGACCGACCAGTAAAATACATTAAGAAGAGTAGCGTTCCAAAGATAGCTTCTCTGTGCATATACAAGATATTTACACTGGGTAACCTGTGTGGATCTTAAAATACAGTATTACTGTGCTTGAAAGAAGTCTGTACCATCAGCTGTAGTTGCTTTCTGGTGTGGCATGAGCATGGCAGCAAATTCTTGCAGCTGATTCCCTCGGATAATCCTGTCTAGATACATTTTCTCCAAGATCCCATAGGCTGAAAGCTGCTGACACCTCTCATCCTTAAAAAGAGTGGCTAACATGCGAGAGCGCTGCTGTCCTAGGAGAAATAACAAGAATGCCACAAAGTGAACTTCATTCATTCGATAAATATCAATTTACTAAATGAGTGCTCATGAGGGAACAGTGTGTGTCATGTTCACCCCTATGCTATTTTCCAGAGATAGGAGCATATCATACAGAAAACATCTCCAATGCAAAATTGTCAAGGCTTCTAATGTGCTCATCACCAGGGCGTCTTGACACTTAGTATTTCATTGCAGAAAAAGGAGTAGGAGTTCTTCTCATGGAGAATACAGGCCTACTTTAAACAAACACTTTAAGAAACAAGCCGATCTTTCCTTTTTCTAAAAATCCTTCCTGCATTGTTCCCTTAGCTGGTGTGTAGATGTATTTTATGCTCAGTCGCAGAAAAGTTTCCTTAAATAACAAGTTCCTACTTCAACCTTTTCCAAAGTATTTTCTGAAACTGCTTAAGCTTTCCTCACTTACTTGCTTTTTTTGTATCCAAATAAGATGATTGTAACTTAGGCATGCAGAGAAAGATACTCAAAACTCCTAGTTATCATCCTGTTATCAAACCTTTGATCCCTTATTTATTTTCGTAGTTCTAGATTTCTCATAACGATACCTTACAACGATGAGCGTTACACAAAAGGAAATCAACTAAACAGCAACAATTCCATTTATCCCATTTATATATTTAATCCTCAATATCCTGGGCTGGCCCCAGGAAGCAACCGTTGGCTGGTCAGAGCAGCCCCTAGCCTGAGCCCCTCTCCTTGCCTTAAGCTCTCCCCACCTCCCAATCTCTTGCCCTGTCTCCTGCACTCCCACCGCCTGCCCTGAGCCTTTCCTCAACCTCCCACCCTGACTCCTGCATCCCTCACATGCCCAGCCTACTTCCCTGAGTCCTCCAAATCCCCAAGACCCTACCCTGACTCCCACAGTGACCACACCCACAGCTCCCTGCCCTGAGGGACCTAAGCAATGCTGGGTAAATCTTCTAGTATGGAATATAAAAGGCCAGAATTATACAGAAATATGTAACATTTATTTTACCTGCTGATGCTAGGATAGTACAATGCAAAGCATGCTTCAGTGCTTCTAGTCTCTCACTTTCATGGACTATGCTCTTGTAAGAGAGCTCATTGTACCTTTGGGCAGCTTCAATAAACTTCCTTCTGTAATCAAGAACACGAGCATAGCACACCTAAAGAGAGAATGTTTCAGTAAGAAAAAAGTGACCGTGTAGTGGACCTGCACATTAGTTCCTGTATTACAGAATGAGAGCATGGATCCATAAGCATCATTTTAGGCTGCAGATAAATACTCCATCATCTCAGGGAAGTTATGCAAGAGCTCAAATAACTATTCTTCTGAAGTTAGAGCCTTGATATTCTGGCAATTTGTCCTCCAAAGGCCCTGATAAAATTACACAGATTCTTGTACAGAAATTACAGAATCTTAATCTGTATGTGAAATTCACAAGTTACCACTGAGTATAAGTATTTACATACATTTTCATATCATAATCTTCCACAGTGCTTTACCAATTTAAACAAATATGCTACACTAAATTATATATACACTATTAATACCGGTCTCTCAGAATGATCTCTGCATTCACAGTTAAGGAGCACTTAATTTGAAGATGAAATTGCAGTTGTTACTAGGGATGTAAGCAACTGGTCGACTACCCGATAAGCATAAGCTTATTGACGAGTCGCTTCCCCCCTCTGCTGCCTCGGAAACAGAGGCAGCAAAGGGGGGGGGGGGGAGGAGGAGCTGGCTTAAAAGTCTCCACGGGGGGAGGGAGGAGGAAGAGAGGGGGGACGAAAGGAGGGGGATGATGACAGGGAAGGTAGAGGTGCAGTGGGAAATGGCACAGGTGGGGACTGAAGCAGTCTCCACTCATGCCGGTCCAACTGCCGTGCCTCTGTCTTTTAAATGTAGCAAGAGCCCCACAGCAATTGTACTAGTGCTTAACTATTAAAAATGACACTGAATATAAAACAGGTAGTACGAATATTTCATAACCAGGGCTTGCCAAGTGGCGGTGAGCCCGGCTCGCCAGCCGCGCAGTTCGGCACGCTGCGCGTGCGCAGACCGCACTGTGCATGCACTTACCGCGCTGCGCGGCTGTGCCAGCTTGTAATTAATTGTCAAGCCCTGTTCATAACCCATTTCTCCCTTTTGCTACTAACAATGAGACTTTGAAGTTACGTGCTCTACATTTTCAAAGAAATTCATTTTGCCTTGGTGTTTCTTCTTCAGTTTAGCATCTTTGTCTTTCAGACTTCCCTCTCCTCCAATTCCTCCTATCATGATTATACACATTCTAATGTTATAGATGACTCTGTAGTTCAAGCCTAGCATATTAAAAAAAAAATTACTTGCACTGCTCCAGTTGCTTAATACTCTAGAACTTTATGCTTTTCTGTACTATTTGATACTGTCAGTTTTGGTGTTTCTAAACTACATGGCTCCGTTGACGGAGCCATGTAGATTAGGCTGATCGGTAGAGGGAAATGAAGCCGTGATTTAAATAATCGTGGTTTCATTTAAATTTAAATGGCTGCCGCGCTCTGTCAACCAGCTGATAATCAGCTGTTTGTCAGCAGATCAGGGCAGTCTGGACGCGCCACAGTCGACAAGGAAGCCTTTGTTGACCGGCGCAGGTAAACCTGGTTTCACGAGGCTTATCTGCGCCGGTCAACAAAGGCTTCCTTGTCGACTGTGGCGCGTCCAGACTGCCCTGATCTGCTGACAAACAGCTGATTATCAGCTGGTTGACAGAGCGCGGCAGCCATTTAAATTTAAATGAAACCACGATTATTTAAATCACGGCTTCATTTCCCTCTACCGATCAGCCTAATCTACATGGCTCCGTCAACGGAGCCATGTAGTTTAGAAACACCAAAACTGACAGTATCAAATAGTACAGAAAAGCATAAAGTTCTAGAGTATTAAGCAACTGGAGCAGTGCAAGTAATTTTTTTTTTAATATGCTAGGCTTGAACTACAGAGTCATCTATAACATTAGAATGTGTATAATCATGATAGGAGGAATTGGAGGAGAGGGAAGTCTGAAAGACAAAGATGCTAAACTGAAGAAGAAACACCAAGGCAAAATGAATTTCTTTGAAAATGTAGAGCACGTAACTTCAAAGTCTCATTGTTAGTAGCAAAAGGGAGAAATGGGTTATGAACAGGGCTTGACAATTAATTACAAGCTGGCACAGCCGCGCAGCGCGGTAAGTGCATGCACAGTGCGGTCTGCGCATGCGCAGCGTGCTGAACTGCGCGGCTGGCGAGCCGGGCTCACCGCCACTTGGCAAGCCCTGGTTATGAAATATTCGTACTACCTGTTTTATATTCAGTGTCATTTTTAATAGTTAAGCACTAGTACAATTGCTGTGGGGCTCTTGCTACATTTAAAAGACAGAGGCACGGCAGTTGGACCGGCATGAGTGGAGACTGCTTCAGTCCCCACCTGTGCCATTTCCCACTGCACCTCTACCTTCCCTGTCATCATCCCCCTCCTTTCGTCCCCCCTCTCTTCCTCCTCCCTCCCCCCGTGGAGACTTTTAAGCCAGCTCCCCCCCCAGCACTGGCTCCTGCCTCTCC